CCTCCCCCCCTCCCCACACACACCGCCCATGACTCCTGCAGGCTCTCGGGTGAAACTGAAAGTGAAACTGTCTGCTGTGCTCCTAACACTTGTTCTCACTCAGTGAAGCTCTTTTCAGATTTAAAATACCTTTTAGGAAATGTATTTTCAGATACCAAGTAAACTGCATCATAGCGCACACTGAAATGGGTGGGACAGAAGCAGAAGGTGGTTCTTAAAGAGACAGAGGCCAATTTGAAGGCGCTTAGAAGAGGAAGTGATGAGAAGATAAGTTTATTTTCTTAAAAACATAAAAACAGCATTTTAATAACAACTAAAGGTGACATAGATACTTTATTATGGTATAGTATGTAAATGTATGCCTGAGAAACACATAACATTGCCCCTTTAAGACAAATCAAGGTATGTGTCTGGAACTGTTTGTGACATCAGGATGATCTGGTGTCAAAATGAAGCTTAAAAGTCAAAAATCTGAAAATGTGCTTTAGTTTAGTTCGACCAAATATGAGTTCCTTCCTGATTTGATGTTAAAACAACAGAAAACTACACAACAATGAGCTAAACTTTAGCACACAAGCAATAGTTCTTATTCTTCTTTACACACCAAGTGCAACAAGTTGCAGAAGAATCATTTACTTCTGCTGTTATTTAGAAGAGGAGTTTGCATGTGATATCCATGCATGTGTGGGTTTACTTCAATCAGTCTCAGCCTTTGTGATGATGGCTGAGGAGATGAGACGATGTTGTTCCCCAATTAATTTAATGTCTTCTTTATGTTTAAACATAGTAAATGTGAAATTAACGGCATGATTTTAAACCCACTCAGACTGCTTGTTGTCTCCATCACGCGCTTTCTGCTCTGAGAAAACTGGTTCTTTACTCTGGTCCGACAAAGAGTTGGTGCTTGGTTACCAGCAGGTTTTTTTTTTTTTGTTGTTGCTGAAACCAGAATTTATGGTGGTGGAAATGCAAAGAAGCAGTGCTATGTGAGCTCTTGCTCCAGGTTAGTCCTGGAACTCGCCAAGGGTTTAAAAAAGACAAAGAAAAACTTTATTTTGGAGAGTAAGGAGAGTTCATCCAGAAACTGCAGCTTCCTGAGCCGTCCTATCTCACCTGCATCGACACGCCTTCTACTCGAGCCACGTAAGCCAACTTGTCGAGGACGGTAACTGTGACAGGAACAGCAACAAAGAAGCCACTGATGAACGCTCGGAGGCAGCGCCGACCAGTCATCCTCCGCTGGGCCACCTGGAAACTGGATGGGAGTAAAACACAACAGGAAAACAGCTGGAATACAATTGTGATTTACAACATTACACTAAACTTCCGTCTCCATTACAGATTAAAAATTTGAATAAGAAAAATGACTCAACAGATAACTTTATTACCAAAAGACCTTATTTTAAGAAGGAAATATGAACCTGCTGTAAGCAGCATATCACGGAGGCAGTCTTTAGTTAGAACCTGAACCTGAAGGCCACTTTATCACAAGTGTGAAGCCGTTTCTCCCATCTGCTTTGGACTCTACTCATGCAGTGCACACAGCACTGCTCTTATGTACAGGGAGTAGTGAACCACTGAATCAAAACATGAAGTTTTAGTTTCTATAGTTAAATATGGCGCCATCTGCTGGCCAACATTCTACATTAACTGTACGATTTAAAAAGGGGTTGTGTTTGCAAAGGTTCTGTGCGCATCTTGAAAACTCTTACTGTATTTTCTTTTAGAGACATGATTAATAATGATTTGTGTTATAATGTAGAGACATGAACCAGGAAGAGGACCCACAAGTTCTAAAGTGCTGACCTTATTGTTACCAACCTTGAGCTAATTGTCAATATTTATTTTGGATTTGAACTGAATTACGACTAAAAGTAAAGGTCAGTAATAATACAGTAATGTTGATAAGATGAAATAAGATACAGGACTTGACCACAGTTCTCCTACAGTTAAACCCACTAACATATGTATATTTGCAAGACTTAAGAAATTATATTGTGCATTTACAAAAGCAAACTATACATACTTTTTCTTTTTTTTTAAGAGACGGTGGGGGTGTTCAAATAAATTTTAATTTTATTTGAAACCACTGAAGACAACTTTTCCTCAATATTCCTACTTTTATCTAACAAATTATTTTTAAATTTCCCGGACTGGCCCTGATAGAGGCAGAGGATGCTGACGTGTGACCTCACATGTAAACACGGAAAAGTCCGTGGGGTCGTTTTGAGTAATTAAAACAATAAATCAAGGCAACCTGGTTCTGTTTAGCTCCAGCAGTTCAACATGTCTACTTCACAGCTCTAACCACAGAACCACCAGAGAACATCTTCTTTCCTGCTCGACTTTAGAAACCTCTCAGTGGAGCTTTCAGAGTTCATTAGCAGCAGTTAGCTAATGACTTCAAAAACAGTAAAAAAATAAAAATAAATAACGCTCACAGCTGTTGTCTACACTGAGGAATCCTGTCAACCAAAACTTTAAACACTCATCTGTGAGAAACAGACAAAGATCTTTGTACCTGCCTAATTTTCGGAGCTCTGGAGTAATCCGGAAACACGTCACGTGTGGCGCCTAAAAACAGCCCGGTGCGGAACAAATAACGTTCATTTAGTTCCGGTGTTTGCGAAAAACTAAACATTGCAGAAATTGGAACAAAAATAAACAAATTATTTAAAATGAACTCTTCTTTTGTCCTCCTTCGTAGTCAAGGTGGGCCTCTTCCATTAAGGAAAGTATTACAAAAATATTTTCAAAATACTGCAACAAAGGAATTTTCCTTGTAGCCTAGTTCATCAGTTTATGTCTGCATTACAAAAAGTACACTGATTCTCCCCAATATTAAATTTGGAATGCAAAACGGATAAATAATTATAACAAGAATAAGCCATCTCCTAGCTGAATATTTCACAAAATAGTGGCACTGCACAGTATGGTTAACTGTAAAAAGGTATAGTTATTTCATGATTAATTGACGGATTAATTTGAATAGAATAGAATAGAATAGAATTTAGACCGGAAAAGATTTGAAGAAAACCAAACAGAAGACCAGACTGGTGGCGAGTATGAAGGCTTCAGAAATGGTATAATAGTCCATGGGGAAAACCAGAACATGAAGCGGTACAATAAAATTCAAAATTAAATAAAAATCTCCCTAAAAAAATCAAGTATCGATCTTTCTTAATCGATCTTATTAAACTAATATCGATCAATGTCCAAACTCTTAACGGGGCCAACGATACCATCGATACTGTAATCGATCTGATTCGGCACCTCCAACCACGGTACTTCTTTCTTTTTCCTCCATCCATCAACCCGACAGTTGCTACAGACCGGAGCTCTGGAAAAGGTTCGACTTTAGCTTACAATAAACACACTCCGGACTAAGAAAACGTGACTTAGTGAAAATAAAGTTCTGTGAATGCGCCTCACTGAGCTGGGGGGATTAATATAAGATAATTGGTCATTTGAGTGAAGTAAAGAGACACGGTTAAGCTAACGGCTAGCAAGTTAGCTGCTGAGGAAAAAAACAGCAGCTGGTGATTTAGCGATTTTAATGAACGACGTGACTTTCAGATTTAAAACGTTAGCTGACTTGATGTGTTTTATTATTTTGTTTCAGTTCCTGTAGCGTGGATCGGCCAACACAGTAATGCTCAAACTATCAATTTTAAAGGTGAGCTATTTTGTACATGTTTAGCTAGTTTATGCAGTGATTTGTGACATGAATTTTAAACGAACGACATCAGGCTTTTGTCGGATTTTGATGGGATTTTACACAACATTTTTTTTCGGTCATGGTAATTAAAACCTTGATTAAATTTAGCTTTTTGCTCATTTCAGTCGGTCGCGCCGAAGTTGGCTTCCGATTTCAAAGTTTGCTAACGGGTTAATATTTTTTTTAACACGTGCGCATGATTTTTAATTAGCTGTAAAACAATATACACAGTACGTTCAAACTTACGAATCCAGCTATACTAAATTTAGAATCAGTAAAACTTTGTAATTTGGGAAACTTTAATTATTTGGGAAAGTCCACAAATGGCCAGTTTTTGTCATGTCATTTATAATTTAGACGATTAACTTTATTTATTTTGTTATTACTGTCCCTCAGTGGGGAAATCATTTCTCAGCATTTTCTCCATGTACATGTGATAGGGGCAAATGAGGGCTTCACACTTTTTTTTTATTTGGTTGGTTCAGGGAGTCAAACCAGCGACCTTAAAACAGGCTCTCGTTTTCTATAAGCTTTTCGCCCCCACTCCCCTATTATAGACCATTTCAGAGTAAAAAAAAAAAAAAAAGTTAAAAATGTGCTTGAGCAAAGCAGAGCTCACATGTTTTTTCAGGGTAAACACTGAGTTTGCTAAGGAAATGCCAGACCAGAAGCATTTACTCTAAACTAGTGGTTCCCAAACTTTTCAGCTTTTGTCCCCAACTATTTTTTGGTTGATAAATAAATATTGGTATAAGGTCAAATAAACATAGGCATACTGACAATAGTGACACTATTTATTATGCTACTTACTGTATATCCATTTTTGAGCAATTAAGACAAAAATAGTAATTTTTAAATTAAATTAATGCTGAAAATCTTTTCAAGACCCTACCTTGATATTCCAGAACCCACGGTGTGGTCCCAACCCCAACTTTGGGAACCACTACTTTAAACCGATTCATGTTAAACTTTCGTTTTGGGTTATAGATGAGATTTTTCTTAACGTCTAACGCTATGAACCTGATTTCTGAGCTTGTTGAATTTTTACAATTCCAGTGGCATTTTCATAGCAACCTCAGTGCTTTCTTGGTTGACCTGTGACCTGGTAGATGTACTAGTATGACTAGTCCTTGTAACTGCTAAATGGTCTTACAACTTGTAATTGTTTACAAGTCTAAAACATCTGTGGTAACTGTCAAGTGGTTTTACTGTGCCATATTTATTTAATTTAGAAAGGCTCCTTGTTGTGCCCTATAAAAATGAGACAGCTATGAAATATTGATAATTTAGCAAAAAATAAATAAATAAATAAATAAATAAATAAATAAATAAAGGACTTTTGTTTTTTTATTACTTTCATGCAAAATCATTTAAAATAATGATTTCTGGCCCATCAGATCACAGTTGTCTGATTACATGTCGGAAAGGAAAACCTAAAAACACCAGTAGCAGAAACAAAATGGGCGAATTAAAACTCCAGATAAATTTACACATGGTATTTACACTCCTTACAATGCAACGTGTAGTTTCCGTGTGGCACAGCCTGTATCCACAACTGTAGCATGCTGAAGCAAACTGTCCACTGTGGCAGGGTCCATGCTGTGATCAGAAGCTCAAAACAAGAGGCAATAGCAGAAAAGACTGTTGGGCATTGGCAGAAAAAGGTTTATCATGTGTATCATACTCCAGTTGCAGCTTTCTTACACACATGCAGCACCATAAGGAAAATAAACAAGCTTTTCAACAATAAAAGATGCATTGTCATGAAATATTGTCACACCTCCTTTGACTGTATTTTCAATTTTCTGCAGCTAATGTTTGGAACCATCTGCAAAAAAATGCTATGACTTACTGCTTTTGTTCCATTTGCATCATTTAAACAGTGAGAGCATCGTTCGATGACTGCTGCACATGCTTTTAGCAGTTTTCACTTCAGTCTCTGTTGTCACTCATTTAAACATTATCAAGTCCTAGTTCTTTGATTGTTAACCTCTCACACTGTCTACTATTTGTTGTTAGTTTGTCACCTGTTCATATGTTGCCCGTTTTGTTCTCTCCTGTTTTTGAATTTGCTGCCTCTTGGCCAGGGGTCGGATTTATAAAACTGGCGTACACACAATTTGAGCCCAGAAACTTGCGTACGCCACTTTTTACGCCAAGGTTGTGATTTATAAAATCCAAACTTGACGTGAAAATGTGCGATGCCTCACGCCAGCTTTGACCCATGCGTACGCTCATTTTGGAGACGTGAAACTGCGACACAGATGGTGAAGTGGTGAATTAGAGCCGCACTGTCATGATTACTGTCAGATATTTAATTTACCTTCAGAATCAGACTTAGATATTTATTCAACTTTATCATCAGCTTTCTTAACAGTAATTTTTATGCTTCTGCTGCTGAGCCATGAGGACTTTTGAAATAAAAAAAACTTAAATCTTAAATAAAAGTTCCCGTGCGCAACTCCCTTCATCTGCTTCATCCTCAGACGACCCTGACTAGGGCCCTATAAAATCCATTTTATTTTTTCTCAAATTCCGTTTTATTTTTTCCCAAATTCCGTTTTTTCCATTTTAATTTTTCCAAATTCCACTTTTTACATTTTTTCCCCTGAATTCCACATTTTCATTCAAATCATACTTATTAAAACAAACGAAACAAATCAAAAGGGTTTGATTATAAAGTGATTGAAAA